TCGCCATTTTAAGGTAGAGTCACTGAAACGGCCTGATATGAGAAATGCTGAAAACCAAAGAAAGGAAGATATGTTCTAGGAACACACACACACACACACACAATGGGATCTTTAAAATAAGGTAGCTTATCAACATTTATTCCTTCATTTCATAAATACTGAGAAAATCTGACTGTCCTCTGTGCCAAAGGTAAGGCAATAAAAAGTCTTGCTCTCCTTAAATGCTATCAATAATGCAATCAACATTGCAATAACTAGACAAGTTTATCCATGACTAAGTCACAGAGCATGTCTCCGAATAGCGTCACACCTGGTTGTTTACAGGTATGCTCCAGAGCTGTAATCATGCAGCTTGCCTTTTGGTGCCAAATGTGAAAAGACAGAGCTGTAGCTGGCTAATAACACTCTCCCTTGCATTCAACCAACTCAGCAACTTGGTTACAGCTTAACAAGCTCTTAATTACAGCGTGCAGAGCTCCCAAACATTTCAGCAGCTCAGGCAGAAAACGTGATTAATTAATTGGATGTGGGGAATGTGTCTATTCTAAGGATGAGAGAAGGTGTGTTGTTCTTGGGTGAGAATGCCTGGCTGTCAACAGCAAGCCTGGGTACTGCGAAACCTCACACCAAAAGCAAGTATTGTTCCATTTTGTTCACAATATTTATGGCCTTACAAGCATTTTGTCTCAATTTAGGCAGCCCTTTCAAGCCTGACAAGATCACTAGAGGAAAGACAAATGGGTTGATTTGTGGAGTATAAACCCCATCTCTTTCTATTTCAGCAATGCACTGGCTTGTCTGTCAAATCCAGTTCTGCAGCACACAGACAAGAGTAGAACATCTTCTAGTGATTATTAACGGAAACAGCCAGCGAGCTGGAACTTGTTCCACTGTTTTACAGAGAATTCAGACACATGACTGTTAGCTTGGCCTAACTGTCAAACACTGCAAAAGAACACAATGAGTCAGATACAATGCTGAAAGCCCATGACTCAATATTTCCTTGTTGATTGCTCATTCAGATGAAACTACAATAAACTCTGTATTTATGTCGATAATAGTAGCCTCTGTATCTACAAATATCATGTTCATGGAAATATGTGGCAGGTATGGTGCACTCATATTTGTTTTTGAAGGAAAAGTGTTGCGGAATGAGGAAGCGATAAGGAAAGTTTGAGCAATGCCAGAAAAGGCAGATATACATGAAGTCCGTGTTCCTTGTGAGTCTGATAGAGCAACCGTATGATGGGAGAAAACACAGACTTACAAGCCCCCCTCCCAGCCTTTGTTCTCACCATTACTCTTTGTGCATTTGTGGGTGTGTGAGCGAAGACAAACAATGCTGTCCCGCACAGTCTGGGTGCTATAGTATAGAGTGAAAGAAAGCATGGAAAGGGGAGGGTTGGGTGGTATTCAGACTGTATGGCCTTTTCCTTTAAACTGTGTGTGGGAAGACCTCCTGGGGCAGACAGACACGCCATTCCTTCACCCACAGACATTATATTATACCAGCCCACAGAGGCGATGCAGATGAGTGAGGAGGGAGGTGTGGGCAAGACTGAACAGAGAAACTTTTCAGAGACGGGATAAAGATGGAGGGAGGGGTATTGTAAAGTAGACGTGCAACCACTTGCCACTGCCCCATCAGTTCTGGTGAGAATTATGCTATTGCTCAGCTCAACTAGGAGCAGAAACTATTATGAAAGAAAATTGCTCCTTTATTTTTCTTTACTAAACTTTACATTTAAATTGAGAAGTTACATTTATAAGTAATCTGTCTCTGATGGCCAAACGTTTCTAAATGGAAAACTGTAAAGTTTACAAGTAATAAGCAGAGGCACGCAAAAAAAAAAAAAAAAATCTAAATCCTAAATAAATAGAGTGTGTAGCTGACATTTTAGGGCATGAACACTGTCCTACATTAAACAAATAATTTCCTCCTCATTTACAACAATCTACTTCTGTGCATGACAACACACATAAACATCAACAACACCGCATAGATGGATGGGGAAAAAACGTGACTTTCATTAAAATCAAGTGACTCAGGAAAAAACAAACAAAAAAAATATACTAGATGGAGCTCAGCGATCAACTTCCATTGGCCAACTGCAACGGTGCTAACGTTCCCGACGTTTACACGAATGTGCACTTCAAGTTATCACTAGTTACGTGAAATTTCTAATAAAAACAAAAGGAATGAGTAACAACATTGTGTTTACTTACCCAGAATACAATGTTGAATCCAAATAAAACGTATTTCACACAGCAGCTGACTTCGGCTCCTTTAAAATGACGGTGTTTTCTACTCATTCTTCCACGGAAAGTGGTGGCTAACTGACGAGCTAGGCAACTACTGTGACTGATACTCAACCAAAGCTACAGTTCTTAAACAACTGAATACAAGGTTAGCTGGCTCCATCAGCTAAACAAACCCCGCGTTAAGTCTTCCGGGTTGGTTAAAACTCAGACATATGTGGCTAAACTGTCTTTAACTCGCTTTGACTATTAGCTTGCTAGGCCAGCTAGCTCGCAACTTCTATAGTTAGCATTGGCTGCTAACAACAACAAATCCAGGAGCACTTCAACTAAGGCACACAGATGCGGCTCTGCAGCTCCGTCGACATTCAAGTTGTCTGGTGTTTACGTCGCTTCGCTTGCCGGATGATCGAGATGGCGGTACTTCAGCTACACCTCCCTAATGTTATCTGTGTTGCTGCATCGCCGCTTGTGAGTCTTCATCCTTGTTGTTTTGTGCTGTAAAACAAGCCCCTGCTGTCAAACGGGAAAACCACTGCGCTGACTTTCGCCCTTTTCACTTCAAGAGCGGCCTCTTGTGTCTCAGCCTAGCTTGACCACACAGAGAATAAGCACTGTATGTACGAGGTTGCTTCATTAAAAGCTGCAATAGGAAGTGGCCAGGTTTGTAGTGTGAGTTCAAATTGAAGGAGTGCACAGTAATTTAAAAAAAAAAAACGGGACAGGACAGTATGAGTAATGATATTAACAATCATGTATAATGATTAATAATTAGCTAGATTCTAGCTCATTATTTACACCTTTACCTACACCTGCCACGACGCATTAAAATATCTGCAGTGAGAAAGGTCGATTAGGAATGACACTCTAATAAACTGGGGTACTCAAGCGCAATTATATATTCATAATTTCAGCCATAATGTTCTGGCATGACAGGCTGAGTAATTTCACTCCTTTAAGTAAGACAGTGAAGGAGAAATATAGATAACTGCAGAATATTGTGAAAATGTTGTGAAACGTGATCAAATGAAAACGGAAGTGAACGATCTGTTCTGAATAACTTTGCCTCATTTGAACTTCTGTCTGGAGTCCTACAGATGGCAGTCTATGATCCTGCGATAAATGCATTTCCTTTTCACCTCTGGGTGCTCCACTCTGGGGCATGCCAACCTTCTAACTATTGCCAGAAATGTGTATTATGTTGTACTGACAGTAAACACAGCATAAAACTGTAAAACCAAACAGTATTAGCCTGCATTAGCTATTAGCTACATGTAATATTTTCATCCAGTACTCTACTTTTTCTCAATATGGCATAAACCCGCACCTAATAACAAGACAAAGACATATTATGAAATTACAAATACACTGTCCACATTGTCATATAATTTTAAAGGAGCAGCTGTTAAAGGGCCTTAATGTTGTAGTGATACATTTAATAGTACATTTATTGGCCGATAAAGTTTTATTGATTATAGAATAAAAACACTAACTTAACATTGTAAATGCGGATATGTTACTACTTATCTTCCGTGACCAGCTTCACATTTTATTTAGATACATCATAGCCAGGGAAATGTTATGCCACTGATGAACAATGGCTGTAAGGTCAGTTTCTTGATCATTAATATGTAAATTGTCATGACCATTGATCAATGACCATTGATCAATGTACCATTCACAGAGAGTTTGGAAATGGCTGCAATCATAGCATTGAAAGATGTACCCTTAGGCCCCTTTCTTGATCTAGGTCTTTCCCTTTTCACATAAATGGAATCCTTGACTACCCGTTCAAACCAGCGTTCCTTCCTGTCCAGGATGTGAACATTCTCTTCATTGAAAAAGTTGGCACTGGCCCGTAGGTGTGAACAGATTGCAGAGTCCTGGCCTGACTAGGTAGCTCTTCTGTGTAGTGCCATCCGCTTAGCCAGAGGTTTTTTGATTTCCCCGATGTAAAAATCGTGGCAATCCTCCTGGATCTTAACAGCGTACACTATGTTACTCTGTGCCGGGGGACCGGATTCTTGGGGTGGACCAATTTTGAGGCAGTGTGTTTCGGGATTTAAAAGCGACAGAGGGGGGGTGTTGAGAAAAAATGCATCTCAACTGTTCTGACACATAAGGGATCACTAAATTTAAAGGATGCCGAGAGCATCCTTCAAATTTGCTCAAGGCCTTCTTGATGTGATGTTTTTCTGCTTTCCTGGCTGCTGTACCTGTGGGGATGGTGTTCGTCATGTGTTGTAGCGTCCTGATGACACCCAGTTTGTGTTCCAGTGGTTGATGAGAGTCAAACCTTAAATATCGATCCGTATGCGTAGGTTTACAGTACACATCAACTTTTAAATATCCCCATTACTCATGGAAATCTCACAGTCTTTAGACTCAAGTTCACATCAAGTTCACCAGTTCTGTAAACTTGATGTGTTGGTCCACCGAGTTTATGTGATCAGTGAATTGTGTTATGTCCTGAGATTTGATTTTCACCCAGGTGTCATCCACATACCTGAACCAATGACTTGGTGGTGTTCCAGGGTAGAATAACGGGCCCTTCTTTTTCAATTATATTCCTCATTAGGGTGATGGTTTTATAAAGGACAATAGCAAAGACAAACTGAAAATATTTAATCTAGTGTGGCATTTTTTTATTCTGCATAAAATCATTCAAAGATCATACAGTTATGCAGCATGGGTTATAAAATGCAGGCATGCAATCAACCCCCCCCCCCCCCCTCCCAAAGCACTCCAAAAAAAAACCTGCTTTCAAATTCAAAACTATAACAATTCTTGTTAAAGTCTGAGAACTTCTGCAGTCCACCTAGTGGTGACCCAGGTTGAACTCAAGCCGTGACAGTGATAGGCCTAATCCTGCTGAAGGGGCCGGGTCACTGTGTAGCAGGAGTCCCCGTCACTCAAAAGACAAACAGGGTAAATATTTAGAAATGTGCTGATGCTTTTGGCCTGCGTGTCAGGGAATGAAGGAATGATCTGTTGTGCTAGCAAACGACTTGAGAAGGTGGTGTAATATGGCTCCACGCTTGAAACATAACATCGTTCTGGCAGCAGTTATGTTTGCGGCTAAGTGCCACCATCATCGTGTCAGCATATTGCATTCTCCAGCTGTGGACTTTTATTTTTTTACAGTATAGAAGTGTTTGAAGGTAACATTTTGAGTGACACTTCTCAAAGCAATCAAGTTTTTGAACAACCCCTTCTTAGCCGCTGAAATGGAATGAAAAGAAGTGCAAATCAAGTATGAAGAGAAACAATAAAAATGAACGAGAACATACATTTGATTTTTTATATGCATTTCAAATACATACTGGTCCTCCAATCATCTTCTGACAATCACTTTACAACGTACAACATTCTTCAAAATCTTTTTTCCCTCCTCTCCATAAAAGCACACACTTGTGTGACATCCACTTTTACTTCTGAACTCCTCTCGAACAGGCTCTCAGTGAAATATATAAATTTTAATCCATTCCTTGTCTCAAACCTTAATCAACCGTTTTTCTGTCGACAACAGCAAAAGAAACAAAAAATACAACAATTTTGACATCTTTCTTGGAACTCGGAAACAGTGTTTGATTGAACAGTTGTATCAATGCCCTGTCTTACCTCCACGTAAGTCTCTGTATTTAACATTCCCTTTTTTTCTGTCATTCTTCGTCAGTCTGTCTATAAAGCTTACATTCATTTCAGCAAATCAGAGCAACATCTATACGCTTTGCTAAACTCATTATTGCACTGTGATATTTATGCATTTTACTTACTTTGCAGTGGTTACAGCTGGTAATAAATGAGTGTGTGCTACCTAAATACTGCTGTGTTTTTGTTGTGGAAAAGGGAAGGGAACCCATCATAATCAGTGCTGTCTAAATCATTTTATCAATTTACTGCTTGGTCCTTTCCTAACGCAGTACTATGAGAATGCCTCATCGAAAGCAGTTTAAACTCACTTGAGGGGTATATTTACATGTTACTCATTTCCTTCAACATTTTTAGGTCTCAACCCCAATTTTCTACTTGCATCATAACAATAGTTCATTAATGATGTTTAAAACTGATACTTTTTCTTCAAACGCTTTTCAAACACAGTATCGACAGTGAAGATTCTGTATGTTTGTTGTGAAAGTATAATATGTATTGAAAAATCTTTGGTTATTTTGAGTCTTTTGCCCTTTTTTTGGCATGTAAGAAGCATACAAGCCACAGCAACTGTGTTGTGTAAAAAGCTTGTTCTTGTCAGGCCATACTACGAATGTGAGCCATATGAAATACTATAAACTACCTCGATACAACATATACCATTATAGGATTTGCAATCAAAGTTACTTATGTAGTACTTATCTAACATTAGTCTGATGAAATGTCTCTAGAAACTCGGTTACTTGGTCATCTACTTCCACAAAACTCTATGAAATCAGAAACTGTGCTTTTGCCGACACTCAATAACGCCCTCACAGGTCAGTGGAGATGGTACTTCGTTTCACCCTCAGGCTGCCGCCCCAGCCGCGGGGACAAGTGTTGTAGGAGTGGAGGCCGGGCGAGCGGAGGCCTGAGTCTTCGGATTCAACAGATGCGTCGGAGTCGGTCAGGGAGCGAGTGTTGTAGAGACGCACAGGAGAACAGATTCTCTGAGTTGGAGTTGGGGGAGGGCTGGTGAAAGTAGGGGACTGTGCCCCCAGTGACCGTGACTGGAAGAGGTTGACGGGTGGTTTCTGACCGTCGTAGCTCAGTGATGAGATGGGAAGACTGTGACCGCTTAGTGCACCAGGAGAAGGGCTGTTTTTACGTTTGGCTGCATTGATGATATTTTTGGCCAGCAGGCGATGGTTGGCTTTAGAGTCCAAGTTGTTAACTGTGGGAGACATGCAGCGACTGTCTTTGGTCAAGGAAACAGGAGAGGTGACGGAAGATGTGTACAGAGGTTTAGTGGTAGAGAGAGAGAAACTGGTTTGAAAGTGTGAAGGAGACTGAGAACGTGAGCCCCATGGAGGAGACACAGGAGATGTGACTGTAGATGGCTGGGATGGTCTGGATGTGGAAACTAAGAAGCTAGAGGACTGGACCTTTTGGCTTACTAATGGTGATTGGCATCTTGATCCCCAAGGAGGGGTGGATACATTTGTTTTGGAAGGTCTGGACGTAGGAACTGAGGAGCTAGTGTAAGGCTGGGTATTCACCACTGGGGATTGGCATCTAGATCCCCAGGGAGGTGTGTGTGGTGAAGTCGCTGTAGATGATTGGGGAGGTTTAGATGAAGAAAATGAGAAACCAGTGGAGGGCTTGTTGTTCTGGGTCGTTGGGGATTGGCACCTTACACCCCAAGGAGGAGAAAGGGGAGAAGGAGATGTAGAAGTTTGGGAAGCAGGAATTGGGGAAATGATAGCGGACTGGCTGACCACTGGGGACTGACATCTTGAACCCCAAGGAGGAGAGCGTGGAAAGGTGGCTGTAGATGTTTGTGAGGGTCTGGATGTGGAGGTGGAGGTAACTGTAGAAAACAGGATATTCTGAGTGCTCATAGGCGATTGGCATCTTGAATTATTACGAAACGATACAGGGGACGTGACTGAACGGATGGAGCTTGTGAGGGGTGGTGGGCTTGTTTGGAGGCTAGAAGTCCAGCTTCCAGTAGCTGGGCTGCCCGGGTTGCCTGTGAGGTTACGTGTCCTGGTTGGTGTAGATGTCTCACTGGGAACTTCAGCAGGAGTGGACTCCTTTGGTGTCTGTTGGATCAGGACAAGTGTTTCTTTAATCTCTTAGAAATATGTATTCAAAAACACAGCATATTAAATACACAAAAAGTTAGGCTATAGTATTGTTAAGCATGTGGATAAGTAAATGAATCTAAAAGGTTTTTAATTAAACTGTGTCAGGATGTGTTGTTCGGAGAGTCTGTTCAGATGAAACTTCACACAATACACCCAGAAGATCAACCAAGTAAACTTAATAAGTGAACCTGTGATGATAAAACTGTGCCCAGCCTGTGCCTCAGCAGCATTCAGGTTATGTTTGTGCACTCCCTCCATCTGTATGTGTTTATCCAGCCTCCCCTGGCTACCAGCCCACACAGGCCCTGTCTTAAGTGTCTCTCTCGGGTTACTGTCATCTGGCTTTCACGTAGAGGATAACCTTTGCAGAGATATGTAGTTACCTGACAGAAGCAAGGCTCGCATCCATCTCATGTCTATTCTAATTAGGGAATACTCCCACTCAGTATGATATTATGATGAAACTAACCTGCTAGGATCACCTTCCCGAGAAGTTATGGTCTCATAAGACGAATGTTAATGGTCATATTTCAAATGTTCGAGGCTACTTTGAAAGAAAATAAGGCCTAGGTCAGGAGTCATAGCATTTGTCTAAATTTCTGACCCCCTCAAGGCCAGCCAGGGCAGAGTTCAGGCCTTAACATGAACACGCATAACTCAAATTGTTATGGGGGAAAAAAAACATCTTGTAATGGAAATCTTCAGTTTTTTTCCCCAGAACTTTAAATGTCACACGCTGTGTAACAAAACAGATCTGCCCCCCCCTGCCGCAAGCTATCTGTGTACTTCAAGGAGGTATAAATTTTATTAGTGTGTTTCCAGTGATTGCTTAAAAGGCAAAAGAGTGAAAGTGACAAACAATTAACATTGGAAAAAGCCAGTGAAGTCAGGAAATGAGGAAAAAAAAGTCAGAATGGAATCCGTGTAGAGGGTTAGCATAAAGCTTTAATCAGAGGAAGAAAAGGTTCAGTCGTACATAAAACAATTGGATAGAACAGACGGAAAAGAGCAGCGAATCAAGGTTTGTGAAATGAAACAGACACAGTCCCTGTGCTCTGAAACAACAGCGTTTGATGACGGAATTACTGCTTCAAGTCATGAAAAACAAAAATATGTATATAGCAGGCAGATTTGAAACACCAAAGAATTCAGGCACACACCATATAGTTAAGTAGAGCATGCTGAAAAGCAGAGTAAATTAGCATGAAGGCATAACGATAGAAAAGTAGTTCTCTTGCTGCAACTTTCATGTCAGTGAACAGCATTAAATTGCAAATCGTAGATCATAAAGCAGATGCTAGACCATCTGTTAAAGTGCTTTGTGAAGCAGCATCACCCGAGTGCCCAGTGGAAAAAAGTGTGAGGCTGTTTCTCATCATATTTTAAAATGTGCTGAAAATGGACGTTCTTGAGTGCTGATGTGCTTCGCGGCTTTGGGAATGGCAGTTGATTTTCATTACGCTGAGGCACATTTTACATTTTCGAAGGATAATTACCAGTCTTTGGGTTTTTTTTACTGACAAAAAAGACAAATAATATGCACTGAACAGAAGATAAGACACAGATAGCCATGGCTAAAACTGTTAAACTGTCAGTAGTTTGATGAAGATGTTACATAGTGTCTAAGAGACACATAAATTCTCTATAATGTGTGGGATTATAGTAATAAGAAGCACAAGAAAAAGAAGAAGGCACACGTTAAACAGGCAGTGTAATGAATCGTAAGTTTTAGCCCTATCAAAATCACTTCTGCAATCATGTGTTTAGTATCTAAAAAAAACCCAAACATTTTCTTTCAACACATTTTCTAAAAACGGTACAAAGAGGGTCTCCACACCTGCGGTGCAATCCCTGCCTTTTTGGCAGAAAATGTGGGCCTTGGTGCCTGTACTGATGACCGGGGAGAGGACACCCTGTCTGGAGAAAAAGCAGACATCGGAGAGCTGATCCTCGGATGACCAGATGTCGGATTTGAAGGATAATCTGGTCCACCTGTAGGGCTGAGAGGTATTTGAGGAGACATGCACTGGGCACTGAAGTTAAAGGGAGGATTGTTAGGGAGTGAAGTCTGTCTGGAGAAAGTTGGAGTGGCGAGCTGGTTCCTGGCCTGTGGTGCTCCTTTGGGTAGGGTACTGATGGGGTCCTTGACTGGGTTAATGATGAAGAGAGAAGAGTTAAGCTGGTATGGCCGGTGCCTCGACAGATCCATCTCTATCTTGGAGCAACCATTTTCCAAAGGCGGCGGCTCTGGAACTGGCTCTGGTGGTGGAGGTTTTTTCATTGGTTTCTGCTTGACTGCTTGTTGCGCCTTGAGATTTTGTGAAAGTTGAGCACACATGTCAGAGTTTTTAGCGATAGCTTTGACCCTACCAGGCATGTTTGATGGGTAAACCCAAGATGGTGGCAGAGACATTGTAGGAGAAGGAGATCTAATTTGGCCTGCGTTCTGATTCTCAACCACATATTTTTCCATCCTGGACTGACGCTTAGCAAACAGTTGAGCACCTTTTCCGGACACATTTGTAAGCGACTGCTCCGGTTGGTGCTCTGCCCTCGGTCGGGTCCTTGAGCTCTTGAGACAAGAGGCCCATTCTGGAGCTCTTGCTCCCTCTGTCCTGTCCTCTTCCTTGGCGAGGAAGTTGGAGGCTTCTGCACCCAGAGCCAGTAACTCTTCTTCAGATCCTGGCTCAGGGACAGATTTGTGTCCATGCTTCTTTCTTTCATCCGCCCCTTGCACTAGAGAAAGTAGCTCGGGGTTTGGAGCGACCACCGGTTTCTCTTTGAATGTGAACATTGACTTTTTATTTGCCCTCCTGGCAGCACCCTCCTCAAGTATTCCTGTTTTGATTGGTGTTGTCATCTTCCTCTCCCCTGATGGCTTAGGAACAAAAGTGGAGGGTTTCGGGGCTGTGGGGGGGCCATAATGGGGCAATTGTGAATACTGGGAAGCAGAGAAATGGGATGGTGGAGGAGAAGAAGGAGACATGACCGGAGACATTGGAGGTGGACTGGAGTAGTAAGTCTGTGGGGGCTGGTTTGTAAAAGCAGGTAGAGGTGGTGTGGGATATGACGGAGGTGGAGGGGGAGGTGAGGCCACCACAGGCTGGGGGACAGTAAAAGCAGGGAGAGGAGGTGTCGAGTAGGAAGGAGGAGGGGGGATGTCCATGACAGGCCTGACGGTCTCCGGAGACTGCACCATGGGCGGAGAAAAGAAAGGTCTGGCAGTTCTATTGATGAAGGAGTTTGCATGCTTAGATGTGGGCACAGACACCTTCTCAGGACCAGAGGCGCCATGACAGCCATTAGGAAGCTTTCCAGCAGGATCTGGCCCTGTTTGCCTCCCATTTATCTCTGCTTCTCCTTCAGCATGTACTGACACTATCACATCAGTGGTTTTACTCCCTGGCGGAGTCTCACGCTCGGCCTCATCCTCTAGATCCTCGTGAAATTGATGTCGTGCCTCTTCCTCTTGCTCCTCCTTGACAGGGAGGAAGTGTCTCTCTTGTACAACATGGTCATCAGTGTCTTCTTCTTTGTGGAAATCCTTAGCCGGCTCATCCATGATATCGCCCACTGAGCGTACTCTTGCAGGTGTCGAGAAGACCGACTTGTCAGCAGCCGTGTTCTTTAAGTTTAGGTCTCTGTCCTTTTCCTCACTGCTCCTCTCTGCCCATGTCAGTTTGTTGGATGGGGGGTTCGTTTTCACATTCTCAGCTCTGTCCTCCTCTGACCTTTCTCCACAGCTCTCAAGTGTGAAGGCGTTGACTCTCTGCTTACGCCGATTAAAGAGCTGAACACCCCTGGACTTGGAGTTGGAAGGGACGGTGAGCTGAGCAGCAATGATCTGACTCTTGACGCGAGCCTCCTTTAGCTCCTTCTCTGACAAACTGGCACTCCTGGTCAGATCTAAAGTGAAACACACAGGAGAAAACACAAGAAAGGAAGTTCAGCTAAAAGAAAAAGACAGAGGAGTTTTGCCTTCTTGTCTATATTAAATAATAAAAGGAGTAAGACCTCTGTAGACTTGGCAACGTGCTGCTATTCAGAGACAACTCCCTAGCATGTAATTAAAGTTTGCCAAACTGTTTTCATGTACAAATAGAAAGAACCAGAAAGGGCGATTTTTAACAAGTGTGGGATAGAAATATTCTCTTTAAAACCCACATAACTGTTTTGGCACCATGTGGTTTTGATTGCTTTTTTTTCCCCTTTTTTTTTTTATTATTTCAGAGTACTTTTGATTTCAACCAATCTAGCAAGGGGAAAAAAGACCTTGTGGACATTTGACTCAGCAGACCAGAGCTGTAGGCAATGAGCCAGGAGACGTAGGCGGAGAAGCATTTGAAATAAACATGTCAACAGCTGCTTTACTAAAGTTAATAAAAATTAAAACAAACAACAACAAAAAAAGATCAAGGTCAATGTCGAAAGCTGCAAAATAGGGAAATTACAGCGAGTCGGTGTCTTACCTTGATTTCATAGGTTTGCTGATTACTGGAATTATAAAATAAATGATAGTTTGTTTTCTGAGCTTGAGAGCTCCCTTTTAGGCGGCAGAGCTATTTCCTTCTGCAGTAGTCCCTCCCTGAGCATTCCTCCACCACTGAGAAAACTCCCTGCCTGTGCTTCCAGCATGTCTTTGGTTTCTCTCTGTACTTAATTTGTGCAGAACTGCAGCTCAAACCCTTAATAGACCATTTTTACAATCTAAAACTAGCCCAGAAAAATCAAATTTTTTCACTGCCTTCTATAAACATACTATACAATTAAGTGTTCCCATTTAAAGTATAGTGAACACATCACTCTTCAAAGTCCACGAGAGGAAAATCAAAGCTGCATCTTTTGCCTTTTTTAGCTCCATAAAAACCTGTAGTCAGAGTCTCTTAGTCGTTATGGTGACACATCTGGTAGATTATTCACTGAAAGCATGTTACTCTGATGGAAGATATTTAAAATCCCTGCAGGACGTTTCTCAGACAGCTAGCTCAGCCATGACTGTTTTTTTTTTTTCATTTATTAAGGTGATGAATCCAGACAGCTACATTATTTGATGTAATCATGTGCCAATCATAATAATTACGCATAAATCAGTCACTTGCAGTCGGCATGCAGTTTTCCCTGGCACAGAGTGTAAAGCCAACACGATCATTCCCCCCAGTAAAAAGGAATAATATGCATCTGTCACTGATTTGACAGACTAAATCTGGCCCTCAGTAATTGAATCAGCTCCTTGTGAGGTATCCTAGAGCTTTTTTTACATAAACTTAGCTAAAGTTCAAGAGCATACGTGTGCCATCCACTCTTTATTATTTTTTTCATGAACCATGCACCCTGGACCTGCTGTAATAACAAGCAGCGTGTTAACAAAGTTATCCTCTGTGATGATAACGATGATGACGGCGGTTATGTCTGCAAAAAAAATGGATAAGTATAGACTATGTTAACTCATGCACCTGACACCAACATGATCTATCCCCCATATTAGATATTTGTTCCAGTATAACAAGGATAAACACATTACCACACCTTAGACAAGCAGTCCTCTCATAACTACTGGCATGAGCATAAATCACCTTCTTTTATAGACTGCTACACAGAAATGAGCCTACCTATCTCACAGGTACTTTATGTAGACTCGCTGCCTTTTATCATTGTCGTCACTGTAAGCAGTAGCACCACCAGGGGTCCCAGTGACCATTTTTATGAGCTATTTGCTGTTTATAATTCACGCTACCTGAATATACCAGAGCAGAGAGGCTTGAAATGAAGTGTCCTCGCTATAAACATCTACCTTGAGTGGGAGCCAGCTCTGTTATCAAGTAACATTTCAGGAGCAAATCCCAAGCGGTACCTTTTATTTAATTCGAATTTTGATTTTAATTAGCGTTAAATTCTCAAGTTTTTAAGCTAATCTTATGGAAAATTCCAACAACAAAATAAGCTGCAGTTATTTTGCATAAAATGGATATTTTAATCAACAACAAATACATAAAATGCTCAGGTTAGGCTCAAAAGTACAGATTGCATGATTACACACAAATCTCAGTGATCTTTACCTTTTTAGTTATAAGGAGAAATAACTTTAAGCTTATGAGCCAGCGTCTTCTACAGAAACACTGCCAATAGTAAGTCATATTTCTTCATAAAACAGACAAGCACAAGCTGCTTCAACGTGTTAACATATTCTCACATTTCTTGAGTTTTCTGAAAGCCTGCTTCTCTTGCTGGATCCACTCTAGTGTCTAATCCCTTACCTTTTTCAAGTGAAAACTCAGGGCTCCGCTGTTTTGTAGTACTTCCACAAGAGTTTTCAATTTAACTGCGCCTGATAGCTTCACACCCCCTTTCTGGAGCGAGGTGGGATCGGATTTCTTTTTCCCTGCAGTCCAGCACACAGACAGACAGGCAGGCAGGCAGGGAAGGAAAGGAAGGGAAGAAGGGGGGAAAGGCGGGGAGGGCGTGTAGCTGGAGGCTGTGCTGTCTGTCACTCAGCCTCCAGTGTTGTTTTACTTTTTCAGATCTGTGCCATCGCACTTCCACTTCCACATCCACTTCCCTAATTATATATATATATTTGTATAAAAAAAACTGGGACGTGACTGCTTGACAAATCTGGGTCTTTCATTTTAGAAAGCTTTACAGAGGCTGCACTTTATTTTGAAAGTTCAGGAGATGGGTGCAATCAGCGATAAGTAGTCAGCAGCTTATCTCTGTCTGATGTCCTCTGTCCTTGCTGCCCTCAGTGCACGTCTCACACTCCAACTAAGTGTCTGCCCTCTTTGAACCCTAAGGCCTCCAACCTGCAGGAGTGGGATAGGAATTTCCTGTCCAACATTAGAGTCAAAACTCAGCGCTCAACAACGATGCAAGAGCCCCTACATCATATTGCCTACCCTTCCTTGCTCCTCCACCTCCAACTTTCTCTACCTCTGCCCTCTGCCCCATCACCTCATCCCAGCACGGGTGAGATCAGACAGGAAAGCTCCCCCCACCCTCATGGCAGCGGGATTTAAGTCAGGGAGGCCAACCCTGCTTTTGTGTATCAAAGGTCAGATTACCCTGTCGGATGTTATCTTTCTCCGGGTGATGGCTGTGGGGTGGGCATGGATGACAGCACCAGCCCCTGCGGGTGATGCGTGAAGCGGTATGGAAAGACGAGGATTAACAGAGGTCCTGAGATCCTACCAGACTGAATGTGACCTAAACTCTCAGCAGATTCCCCTGGGAGGAATAAAGAAATCCAGTTCAGAGGTGGGAACCATGCTCTCCTGCTCATAGCGTTACTGTTTCATGTGTTAGGAAAGATCCCACCGGAGCAGTTGTCCACTTTCTCCGCCGCCTTTTTGTTGTTCTAGTGATCTCTGTTTCATTTGAGGAAACTAGTGAGTAATGAGTGATAGGAAGGGTATTGGAAGCCCACAGGCTATAGATCCATATCAGGAACAATTATTTGAAGGCTGGAAACCTTTTTAATGCACAATGCCTTTTTACTCACTTTGAATAGTGCATCTGAAAAACTTGTCACCACCAGTAGTCATGTTTTCTGTGTCTTTTCATGGATTCAACATTTCTATTTTAAAACAGGTTTTTTTGAAGTTAAGTTGGCAACTGTAGAGGTAAAAAGTAGAGGGGCATTTCCAAAAAACGTCTCCCACAAGTTAGCCTGTTATTGCTGTGGCCAGGTTGCATATTAAGACAGTCCTTTAGCAGTGAGGCATGCTTGCATTGGCACAGCTGCTACGAGAACCTGTATTTTTATGACACGGAAACAGATGTCTCAGAGACCAGTTCATTGTGTCAAGTTGCTCTGATGAGTCCAGACTCAGAAACAAACCACTGAATGTGCATTTAGAGTTACATTTTCTTGTAAGAAGTCCAAATAAGGAGAGAAAATAGCAAATAAACAAGCACTTACTTGTTTTCCGGCTCATGTGTTCTTTGTTGAATCCTGTCTTCTCCCATGACGCATTGTAGTCTGTCCCACGGGTCTGCACGTCTTGAGTTAACTGGAGAGGTTTTCTCAAGCCCCCCGGGCTCCAGCTCACCCCTCTCCTGATAGACGTATGTCCCTTCTCCATCTCCATCGCCGTCTGTCGCAGCAGGAACAAGCCCTCAACGCGGGAGGGAGAAACGCTAGTGCTTTGTCCCGCTCGGCTCAGCCTCCTCTCCCGATAGGATGAAGCAACTGGTGAAAGATGAAGTTTTACTCCTTACTGGCAAACAGTGAATTAGCTGAAAGAAAACACCCACGCAGAAGATGAGGGAAAGGTAGTAGCTCAGTTTTCCCAGTTTCTGTTTCCGGTCACGGCTCCCCTTTCAGCAATAATTCTTCCAAATGTTGTCCTGCAGACAGCCGAAATTTGACGGAAGAAGCGTGTTCTTGCTTTGGTCTTCATGAAGTATTATCCTGCATCTAATGGGACCTCCCAGGAGGGTCAGCTTCGATGAGCATTGGATGAGCTCCCATGGATAAATGCCACGAAAATTGCACAAGATTGTTGTGCTGTGTTAAAATTCTGGCGCGAAGGGCTGAGAAAGAGTCCAAGCTTCTCTACTCACATCTCACTAATACTCCTTTTTTTTTCTTTCCCAGATGTTGCTCTTCCTTCTCTTCTATTTTAGTCACAAAAACAAGTTTTTCGCCTGCACCCCAATCTTCAACTCGCAGATGACTTTTCTTTTGGAGAAAAGGGATCTGCCCTTTATCTCACAGATCATAACTCTTGAGTGGCTTGCAGGGAAGCTGTGTATATGAGCGGCTTCCTGCTTTTGGGTGCGTGTGAGGAATAGCATTTCATACTGGAAAGGTCACTGCAGAGGCTGGTTTGTATTCAGTGTTCAAAAGCATTCAATTAGGGCTGCTTTCATCTGGTGTCCCGTGTTATTTCTCAGGCATTAAAGCCAGACACGGTCTCTGAAAGTAAAATGATCGATTTCATTCTTCTGCTTTTGAGGAAAGCCATATGTGAGAATGAAGATTCCTATTTCATGCGGCGGATGGTCTGACTTCCACTGAAACACATCAGTGGGCTGCAGCTAAGACTTCAACAGTTCCACCAGTTTGGCTGATTGTTGGATTACTGATCGCTGCTCTGCTCTGTGTTCGCTGTATGCCCAGAAGCGCCTGCAAGAAAAAGGAGAATATGCAGTTATGTCAAAGGTCAAATCTATTTTAGGTCAAATAAAAACTGTATGATGCATCTAACCAGTGTTGTCTTTTTTAAATAATTTCACTGCTTCGTACACGATTTCAGGAAGGCCATCTGATATTTAAAGACTTTTTAATGACGTGGTCTGAAGAACATCATTTACTTAACTCTTCTGATGAAAGTTTAGTTAGTTTACTCTCAAAAATAAAAGCATCAAACTCAACTTATCTCAGTTTGTAAGACGGCAGGAGTCAGAGATAAAGATCAGGCTTCTCACTTTGAAGTGCAGTCACACTAATGGTGCAAAGTCGGAAACGAGAGGCGCCTTTTAAAAAAACAAAAGAGTCTGATAAACTCTGTTGTCTCCCATGAAGGGAGGAAGGCTGCAGTCCATTCAGGTTTGAGTGTTTGGGATCTACTGTGTATTAAACCTGTCAGACACAACTTATCCCTGCCTCAGGGTCTGCGATGCGATAGAGCACACTGAGAAAGTGAATGTGGACTTAAGCTTTCCATTCAGCGTGAAGTAAAGAGAGAAACAAAGACATGAATATCTTGCAGTGACATTAAGTGGGCACACATCCTCCTTCACTCTGACCCTGTAGAGTATTTCTTTAGCTCAGCAGTGTCATGTTCCTCCTTCTAAGCCAACAGGAGCCACTGGCAACATTTGTAACGGTAAACCACTGTTTGCACATCTCCTTGTCCTTGATCGGACTTGCCTCACCTCGAAGCTGATTGGGGTTTCATTTTTGCTTGTGAGTCACTGCTCATGAGTGGGAGGCTTGTTCAAAAACTACACACGCACACATTTCACACTTATTATTTTTAAATGCCTTTTCTGAGATTCCTGAGAAGCAAAGCAATGCTGCTTTCTCGAGGTGTCTAAGCACCGTAAACTTGTTTGGATCGTTTGAAGGCTGTGTTTTTGTTTCGTAAAATAACAACTGAGTCATGAAAATTCATAGCAGGGCTGCACATTAGTCCCTGGACACAATCAGCCCAAACAAAACCCTGCCCCACCTCCCTGCTGTAAAAAAACAACAACCCAGCAACAATCCTAGCTTACTGGCATGATCGTGTCAAGTGACATGAAGGCTGGTATTGTTTAGACACTCTGACAATCGCTCTTTGATTCCTCCAGATGTGCGATCTGTGCTTGGATCACTCAGAAAGCGACACTGTCTCTTCAGATTAGCTTTCACCGTGTCACTTTCCTGCAGTGGTTTTCTGATATTTTTCTTCACTCGCAGTTGTCTTTGTTTCCTGTCTCCACAGAGAACATAGGTGAACACGTGTGGAGGACATGTCCCAACACCCCTGGTTTAAACATGGGTTGATTGCCAACTTTGATCCAGTCTGCAAATATTTATTAAGTGACAGACAAGGAACAGATGTAAGAACTCTACATGAGCAGAGGCTCTGGCTCAGGAAACAAAACACCAGCATATGGACTTTTGAAATCTGCATCTGTCCCAATCCTTTCTTTATCTCTTTTTCTTTCTACTTTTTATTCATCGCGGCTTGTTAATACGCAGCTTGACGTTGTATTTCTCCCAAACAAACCTGTGATATCTATCCCACTCTGGCGATTATGTGCTTGCCATACGTAATAGTCTGATATCTCTTCCACCACCACCACCACCTGGTCTCCAATTACCTTAAAGTTCAAAAAGTATTTCGCAGTGCCCACCTGTCCCGCTTGGCTTCCACCCCTGCACAATATTCCTATGCCACCCATCTGCCTCCGTGATCAGGAATCAGGGATCTAATTTACAGTTTGGCCCCGCAGGCTGCTTTAATGTGTAATCACAGAGTTCCTGTCCATCGCCAGCTCATGATGGATTCATACCAGACAGCAAATCTATCCCTCTGCCCTCTGCGGCGTGTCTCACATAGTGACAGCGCACAAAAGAAATTGCTTTTGGCACCCTTACAAAACCTTAATCACTCATTTGTCCCTCGTGGCTGTTGTCTTGTGTGTTTATTACGCATCTGCATCAGTAGTCAGCTCGCAGAATGCGTGTCATCCACCTAATAGCTCACAAAGCGCGTGTAGTTTCACCCCAGTAACGGCATCTGCACATCATCAGTTGCTCGGGGCGCACATGAGCGGATGTCAGGTGAGCGCGCATTCCACCTACTCTGTGACTTGAAGTGTATCATTTACCCAGCTTATAATGAGGCATCGGGTCAGAGCATTGACTTGAACTGCAAGCCTTTATGACTGAATCCCTGAGGGGAAGATCTGCCGTGTGTCTGCTATCGTCTGTCTTTTGCTGGGATGTTTTACAGTTAGCAAAAAAAATAAAATAAATAATTTAACAGTAAAGGCTAAAGGCTTTAGCGGGGCCTCTCTCTCACTCACTCACTCTCTCTTGCTTAAACAAAGAGCTATTCAAGGGCCCTCGCAGCACTACAAAATAATTTGGGCTAGTGCTCCAAAATGGGCATTCCTGCTTCATAATTCCTCAAGAGGCTGTGATAGTTAACATGCCGCAGCTTGTGCAAGCTGATGACAGACATCTAAAACATTGCAAAGAGTCGTCCCCAATGAAACGAACAAATGTCTCTCTCTGTTTGCCATTGCCGAGAGTGCGATCATAAATCATGCAGTGGGAAGACCTTGTAATAAAGCGTCTGCTTCGCGCGCAGCTCATCCTGCTCTCGTTGTCACAGGTGGGGAACTTCAAGAGGTGAAAATAAATACTTGAAGTAGGTGTGTGTCATCCAGTGCCAAGAGGGAGGCACCTCCTTGAAACAATCAGTCATAATCTGAAAAACTGTTAGACATCAAAGGCAGCGGGCACAAACACTTTTTAAAAATGTAAAGTTGCAAGCAGGAAACTACTGGCTTTCTGTTCGCACTGAGACATTTGACAAAGTAGGTTTCTGCTGTTTCAAAGCATCTCCCATTACAGCAAAAATAAAGGAGGTGTAGTTTGCTAATCTGTGTAACACACTGTAACATATAGCAGAACAAAGCCTCCTGTTGCTCCCCCGTAAAGCAGTTAATGGGCCTCACCTGTTGTGTTAACAGGAAGCAATTACTTATATATGCGTAAGTCAATACAGTCTCCAGTCAGGACTTTAATTGGATACACCCTCTAATGTTACACAGTGAAGTTCAAGTCTATAACATGGCCACAGAGCGGGCTCCACACAGTCAGGACAATAGGCTTGGATATCAGTGACCACAGTGCTAATGTAGCCAGCCAACACCCCCACCCCAACAACCCCTGCAAGCCTACAGCCTTCGCCAAGGGAAAAAGCAGCAGCCACAGATGTTTGTCATCTACTCAAACAAAGACTTTCAGAGTTTCCCTCCTCTTCTGCCCCAGTTCGTCGCATTCCCCGGACTCTCTCTCCTCTTTCCCCAAGCAAAGATAGTGTCTTCTTACCCCATAAAGATAAACTTAATAGGCTGCAAGTGACAAAGTTTGGTGCAAGCAAAGATAAAATTCCATGATTCATTAAAGCAACCCCCCCACACCCCCTCCCTTTTCTTCTTTTTTTTTGTTGGTTAGGTTTGCTGCTCACCTGTGCTCCGGTGCGTCTGGCTGTTTGAGGCGGCGAGGGTGTGTACTGGCCCTTTTCAGTTCCTACGAGTGTGCGAGCACACCTCCCCTTTTTACCTCTTCTCTCCCACTCCCTCTCTCTCTCTCTCTCGCTCAGTCAAAGCAGACGAAGGATGGGGTGGGGTGGGGGGGGTCAGTTGGAACACAGAAGGCTCTTTGTCTGGGATTTTTTCATATGGTTTCCTTCAAGCTTGCATACTGAACGAACACATTATGCCATAATATATTTTCATATTCAACGCAGGGATGTTGAGGGACCAGTAGGCCCCCGCTCTGTTCTCTCCCCACTTCTTTGTTTCATTCTTGACCCATTTCCAAACCGTGCACACCCGGGCAGAAAAAAAAAATCCAAAGAAAGAGTGAAAAGTATGCAGGAAAAATGCCAGGCTGGGTTTTCCTCTAAACTCCAAGAATTTCTCGATGCACTTCTTACATGTCTCCAAATATTAAAAGTCAAGGGAACAGATTTCTGTTTGAGATATGCAAACATAAAGACTCCACAGAGCTTCTTACCTCAGACGTCCAGATTCCTCACAATAGTAACTTTACATTCATATTTGATGTACAGCACACGACATTTGGCCTTTTCCTCTGGGATGTTAATCTTAAGATTATGGACGTGCACTCCATATCGCCAAAGATTTACATACTCGAAGGATCCCTCAAGTACCATAAAATGTCAGTAACATCTGGTAAGTGTCTGAGCCTTAAAATGATTAGATCTGTAGATCTATAGAAGAACGCTATAAAGCTGCATGAACACGTTTCACCTTCTACTTCAAAATCCTTTGTGCAGAGACCTGAAAGCCTTCAGCAAGATGAGGACTGACTGCGGGCACTGGATTTTTGGATACACAATGGAGCCTGCTTGGCTAGGTCATATGCTTGAAAAATGTATCTTGAACTGCTGCCAGGCTTTAGGAATAACATCTTAATCACCTTTCAGCCACAGGACAAGCTAACCTTATTTAATGGTGCACTTATTCTGATTGTGGTTCACCACTCTTTCAAAGAGCAGGTCACCCAAAGTTTAGCAAAAGGCACGTCTCTACATCTCAAATCGGGCTTGTGATCATGGGCGTGTTTTTCAAATGCACAGATTCAGCATCTTTTGTAATCCCGAAGGTGTGGTTTGCTGGTGATTTTGGTGCGACATGTCTGGACTTTCACCACTTCTCGTCACCTGCTGGATTGTCCTGTCAGTCCATCTCCTCGAGGCTGGGAAACGCCTTTCCTTCTGCTCCCAACCTCTATTCTTTTATATCTTTTCCCTCTCTTTCCCTCACATATCTATCAGCCCTGGATTTTCCAACTTCATGCAACCTATTCCTATTTTTACCCTTCGGTCTCCCTTTCTGCATCACCATGCTCTCTCCCTTTTGACCCTCTCCTGACATGTTTATATGTCTCGGACCCCATGCAGCTGGGAGAGGAGCCATTAGCCGTCGTGTCTATCTGTCTTTCCTCTCCCTTTCTGCCTCTCCAGCCGCCTGCTCGGTTCTGCTCTTGTGGCATGACTCTCTGAAGGGCAGCTGTCTATGTGGGAGACCAGGGAGCTGAGGGGGAAATCTTAGCTCGCATTCCTTCAGAAGAGGGGCACTTGCTGCAAACGGACCGTTGTGAAATTTCCAAAGTGATCTGGTTTATATTCCCTCTCAAGCTGGATTCATCTCCAGAAGTTATTAGAGAGGGGCACGCTCTGGCCTTAACTGATTAAAATCATACATCTTTGCTTTCTTCCCCACCGTACCAGCTCTCAGTACATGTAATGAGATACAGCTACGAGGCCATGCACAGACACGGCTTTACTATAAACACAGACAAAAACACCGGGACAATTCGCCATGCTTTTGAATATTTTGAAGTGCTCCTAACATCTCATTCGAGACGCCATTTCCGGATTAAAACGGGTTGATTGCTGCTCTTAAAGGATACGGTATGTATGTAGCACTAACTCGGTTGAGGCTCACGCATGTTTCAGCTCTGCCTCTGTTTATTTTCAGTGAATGGGACATCTGTATTTCTCATTAACTACCTCAGAGGGTAGTTGCGGTCTGAAGCAGAGATGAGTAAGCCCTGGTAGAATCAGGGTGTGTCTGCTTGTGGTCTGATGATGTTTATATGTCTGAGGCGTATAAACAAGACAGTCCAAAAGCCTAATTACTCCACAGTGTCAGTACATAGTAGTGCCTAATAGGCTACACTCATTTCGCATTTGAAGTGCATGCAGGTTTTGGATGCCAGCCTGGCGCCTTGTAACACATTTAAACACACACAAAGTTTCCAAATCCAATATATACACTAAATATACTACATGGCACAAGTCCCACTACAGCAGTTAGTGGCCTAAATTGCTTCCACAGACTGGCCAGGGAATCTAAGTTGCCAGCGGACCCCAGAGTACTATTTTGTTGTTGCTTTGTTGCTGTGTATGAGTGCATGCTCATTTATAAACTGTATGTGTGAGCAGACTTGGGCCCAGAGCACCATAAGCATATGGTGGGAGCCCCGGTGCACCAATGCACAGACTGAACCCAAACCACAATCAGCTGGCTCAGTCTGTCTGTCTGTCTGGGCAAAGTCGAAATCGCAAAGAGCCAAGAGCCAAGATTCACACATAACAAAAAGTAAATCAGCTATATGCCCACACTGTTACCTTCTTTAATGCAGCTCAGGAATGTGGGAATCAGAAATAATAATTGCAGATGAGTCTGCGACGCTTGCTCTGGAAATAGAGGTTTCTTCACTGCCAGCACTCGTGCTTTTGATTTGTGATGTTTTAATGCAGTAAGTTTCTGGTGTTAAACAGTTTTGAAATTGCACTCATCAGTGTTCACATGGCTGCAGCAGCCAAAGCAAACAAACAGCGGATGTTGCAAAAAAGAAAAGGAGTTTGGTTTGATTTAGTCTGAGTTTATTAGTGGAAGAACATACAGACCTTCTGATCCCCTCTCTCCATTTATGGACAACACACCAGGCCATGCGCGTCGCATTTTATAAGCTAAATGATTAGCATGCTGAGTGAAGTGAGTCTGTATCACAGGTCAATGACTGAGTAGCGCTGTGCAGTTAGAAAGCTACAGGATATTTTTTGATTCACAGGAATGTCATGCAGCGCTGTTAATCTTAATTCACTATATCAGGATGTCAAAGGTTAAAGAATGAGAGGAAATGTGTGGGATCTCAAGAGGTTCACACCCCTCATACGCATGCTGCAACCCGTCACTCGGCTGCGGTCGCACTTTCTTTCTTTCACACGCTGCATCTTGCAATCAATCAGAGTTTAAACACACTAAATAAACATGCATCAACATTGTGCAGCGCTTCAACCATTAAACAAGCATACACGAAAGCTTACAGATCGATTGATGTGACATCCTGTCGTGTCTGATTCTGTTTGGTTCAGCCTGTTTCCATCTAAATGCCTTTCTGCTTAGTTGCCGGGCCTCTCTGCAGATAGGGTAGGAACAAGGCAGGAATTATTCTCCCAACAGAGAGGCTCGCTCTTTGTTTGGATCAACGCTCCAGAGAACGTAATCAAAATTTACGAGAGGACAAAAACAAAATGCCTAATGCTGATCTGCTTCACTGACGTGCAACTTAAGGGCTTAATCTGTGTCACACAGTGCAAGGTCCTAATAAAATATTTATTCGTCCTCCCCAGTGCAAATGATATTAGCGTGTAAGCCGAAAATATGAGCCAAGGTTGTTGTGAAAGAATAAAGTAGTAAAAAAAAGTTGGATGTGTTTGTATGTGTGTGTGTCCAACAGCTGTGCAATGGCTTGTTAAATATTTAAGCAGCCAATCACATCGAAGCATCTCAGTGGATTTATGCATGTATCATGGTCAAGACGGGCGGCTAAAGTTCAAAACTGAACAACACAACAAGGGAAAGAAAGGTGATTTAAGTGACTTTGCTTGTTGGTGCTAGACAGGTCAGACACATACTTCACAAACTGCGGATCTACTGGGATTTTCCCACACGACCATTTTCAGGATTTACAGAGAATCGTCTGAAAAAAGAGAAACTATTCCGTGAGCAGCAGTTAAGTGCTTTGTTGATGCTAGAGGTCAGAGTCGGGTGGTCAGACTGCTGAGTTAATAGAAAGCCACAGTAACTCAAATAGCCACTCATTACAACCAAAGTAGGCAGAAGAGCACACAACATATTGAAACTTGCAGCAGATGGACCACAGCAGCAGAAGACCACATTGGGTGCCACTCTTCCCAGCTAAAGACAGGAAACTGAGGAACACCATTGGCTGGTCTGATGAGTCTCAATTTTCTGTTGCTGCATTTGGATTTGGACCATCTTACCTTGTAGCAACAGTTCAATCTGGTGGTGTTTTATTGTTAGGGATAATGCTGCAGAGCATCTTTGGGATGTGGTGGAAGAGGACATTCGCATCATGTGGAACCCTTAGCAACTGTGATAATATCATGCCAGGTTTAAGGCAGTTTTGAAGACAAGAGGGGGTCCAACCCAGTAGTAGTGAGATGTAACTAATGAAGTGGCCAGTTACTCTGTGACTAATAGCTGTTATAGGGTGTACTTAGCAACAGGATAAAAAACAGACTCCTGCAAAGATGAATTTAGTTCACCCAGCAGTATTTTCTTCACTGAGCAGTAATAGCAAAGGAAATGCTCTGACTAAAGCGCGCATCTTCCTGTAGTGAAAGAAAAGCTCTTTAATTCAGGGTAAATGGGTAAATACATGCAGGTTGGCTTTAAATCCATTTAGTTATAATTACACTGTTTACTAAATTATGATTCACTCATCTTTAAATGAAAGCAGCTCGGTTTGTGATGCTACAGAGGCTTCCTCCGTTCATTACTGATTACTTCTGACTGAACAGCATTTCAGATGTTTCCTAGCTGCTGCTTTGCACATTACGGCAGCGTGAGAAAACTAAAACAGTTCTTTAGCTTAAACGGTGCACGTCAGACGAGTAAAACACAAGATGGAACTACTTACTGCAAACTTGGAAAGGACTTTTCATATAAACGTAGTGAAGGAT